CCCCTGGGGCTCCCTGAAGCTGCTGGTGGTGCAGCTGCCTCTCCCGGAGCTCCCTGAGGAATGTCGCTTCCTGCTCCTCTGGGAAAGCTGCTGCGCCAGCCCCTGCTCAGCTGGGGCCGCTGGCCGGCCGGGGTCATGCGCCCTTCCAGTCACGCTCTATTTTTGTGCCCTCGCTGGCACTGAGGCTGCTGCTCGAGCTGGGGTTTGCGAAGTGCTGGGCAGGAGGGGTCAGCTGGGGTCTTGGCCAGGCCTGGAGGTTAGGTCCTGGGCCCGAGCCCTAGCTCTGCTGCTCGCTGCTGGAGAGTGGGCGGTGGAAGCTGTGCTTCAGTTTACCCCTCTGTAAAATGGGTAGAATTCAGCCCCACCTGGAGGTGTTGAGGCTGCACTTGGAGCACGTTAAGATCCTGGGTGATGAGTATGGAGTTGGCAGTGGGGTTAGCTGCCTCTGCCCATCCGGCCTGAGAATAGCTGGCTTTGTTCTTGTGGGAGAGCTGGGGATTTCCTCTCTGGTTTGGCCCAAACAGCCCCTCTTTGCCTGTCGCCAAGCTCTGGAGCAGTAGGCCTGACTGCCACTCCAAAGCCCCGCATTAAACAGTGACCCGCTGGGGGTGCCAGCCGGCGCCTTCTCCAGCTTCCAACAATCCTGAGTCCCTCTCCTCGGGGGCTGCGGGTGTCCCACTGCCCTGGGCCGGGAAGAGCGCCACCTCTCTGCTCGGGTTCATCCTGGTAGCTGTGTGGGCAGAGGGGCCGGGACGCTCTCCCATGAAGCTGACCCAGGCAGCAGAGCGGGGTGCCGAGACCTAGGCTAAGTGACGCGGAGACGCTCGGCGGCGCCCGCGTGCGCAACTCACCCTGTTCTCTTCCCTTCGGACCCGCCAGGGCCAGAACCCCTTCGACCTGGAATTCTCTCAGCCTCGTCACCTGGATTCCGTCTTCAGCTTCGAGTGCCCAGCCCGCCCCGGTGAGCTCTGCCGGGGGTGGAGGGGGGATGCGAGTGGGTTGAATGTGGGTCCCTTGGAACCTGTTCCTTCCTTGGGGGAAATGGCCATGCAGATTCCCCTCCTGCCCGGCGGGGGGTGGCTGCTGGGGGCTGTCTCCAGGACCATACATCCAGCATGTGATGGATGTTAAGGGGCTGCCCAAAGCTGTCGCAAGCTTAGGTCTCCTCTCCTGCTCTTGGTCTGCTAGGAGCTCACTCTCCTTCCAGTAATCCCATGTCCTCCAGGGAGCCTCTCTGCTCCGTTCTGCTGCCATTGCCTGGGCCACGTTGCAGTGAAGGCATCATGCAAGTCAGTCGTGTCTGACGCAATATAGCGCGCACTTGGTTCGTGCTTCCTCCGCTCCCGCGTGGCTCGGCCGGGCATGACTCTAGAGGGGCCCTTGGGAGAGGAGGGCTGCACCGTACGGAGGCGGGCGCGGAGTTAATGCTCTCTGCTTGGCTTTGCTTTGGGACAGACATGCCTTCAAGCCAGCCCATCGACATCCCGGATCCCAAGAAAAGGAACAAGAAGAAGAAACGCTGCAGAGCCACGGACAGCTTCTCGGGGCGGTTTGAAGGTGACGCGCAGGGCCCCCGGGTTGGGGTGGGTCCCGCGAGTGCAATTCGGGGAGGGAGGCGTTGGCCCTCGAGATCCTGGGAACGTTTGGCTCAGGTGGGATCTGGTTTAGTGAGCGTCCCACCTGCTCTGGGTCACAGCTGGTCTCACCCACGAGATCCAGAGGAGCAGCTGCACGTCTGGGGCTCTGTGCCCAGGCTGGAGCCGATGTCTCCAAACCTCCCCAGAAACCGGCCCCTAAACTGTCCATTCTGCTCCCTGCAGATGTCTACCAGCTTCAGGAGGAGGTGCTCGGGGAAGGTGCCCACGCGAGAGTCCAGTCCTGCATCAGCCTCATCACCAACAAGGAGTATGCGGTGAAGGTACAGGCTCTGCGGGCCCCAGCCGCCAAGGGTGGGACGTCGGGCTGGCCCTGAGGAGAGCAGGATCCTGTTCCTGGCTCCGTCGGCCATTTCCCGCCTTTGACTTGTTTCCTGTTCCCGCCCAGGGTCTCTTGGCTCTTTGGACGTCGTGCTCTCGCAGTCCGGGCAGTGCTCTGCTCCCGGGAGGGCCTGTGGGCGCTTGCGCCGCACAGAACAGCGACAGGGACTCGCCCCTGCTCCCTTCCATGACACGGGCAGGGCCGAGCGAAGTGGCTGAGGCTCTGTGGGGCTGCAAGCCACCAACTGCCCACCCGCCCCAAACTCGCCTGGGGCTGTGGGCGGGAGCAGGAGCCAGTCGGGAGTTGGGTGCCGGCTCTGCTAGGCCTGTGTCAATGGGCTTCTGCCGTTAGCCGTCCGAGAGCCGGAGGGATCTGAGCGAGCCGGGCCCCCTAATTCAACCAGCGTTGGGGACGGGGACAGGCGGTGTGGGCGGAGCCAGCTCTGTAGTAACCGCTTTATGGGCCAATTGGAATTGCTGCTCCAGACTTGGCAAAGGTGGGGGGGAGCTCTGGGCCCCCCATAGGGGGCGAGGCCTCGGGCAGAAGGGGTGGGGCCAGGGCCTAGCCAGCCTTTCACCACTGGCACGTGCTGCCCTGGGCTCCGGCTGTTGAGTATTTGACCCCAGGGCTGCTGACCGCTGTGCCCGCTCCCGCCGGCAGGCCTGGCCGTGGGGTCGTCCGCAGATGGCAAGGGAAGGGCAGCGCTCAGACTGGCTCACGTACGGTCGGCCGGTTGCGGCTTCCCCGGACAAATGACGGGTCCCTGTAAATGACGGCGGGTCCCTCGCTCATCGCTTGCCATGCCCGGGGCCAGCCTGCGTCCGGGAGGGCCGAGCGGTCAGCTGTTTGCAGAGCTCAGCAAGGACCCGACGTGGCGGAAGATCTCATGCGTGGTTGGGCTTAGCAGGGGCTTTAGGGCTAGATCCCACCCCGCAGTGCAGGACTAAGCGACAGGAGACCTGGCTTCTCTCTTGGCTCTGCCATGAGCTGGGGGACTTCTGGGCCCTCTGAGGCGTGGCTCTGGAGCGTGGGAGGCTTAATTCCTGCTCCCGAAGCATGTGGGGCGGCCGGCTGGGCTCCTGTGCACGCTGGGGGTCTCGAGGCCTCCTGCCGAGAAGCGGAACCGGGCCCGGTGGGGCTCTGATTACGCTGCTGTACGGGCCCCTGCAGGCTTAGGGAGCAAGGGCTCTGAGCACTTTGGGGGGCGGCAGAGCCCGGAAATGGGAGCCCTGTGGCGCGGTGAGGGCAGCGGGGCTGCAGCAGAGAGGGGCCGGCCGGAGGCCCCCTGCACGGATTGCAACGTCCTCCCTGGCCTCGGGCCGTGGGATGGCGGCGGGCTGCCATCTGCGTGGAAGCGATAGGCGCAGCTGGGGCGCAGGGTCATGGCCTGAGAACGGGAAGTGGGTTGGGTTGAGAGCAGCTGTTTCGAGAGCACCAGTCTCTGGGGAGCCGGCTGGCCAGGCTGCCCCGGGAGGGGAACAGTGCAGCCCTTCTCTAGAGGCTTGGCAGAGCTCAGGCCTCCGCAGGCAAACAAGGGCTGAGCCGGCCAGGCCAGAAATCCAGCCCTCCCGCTCGGGCGCTGACTCCCTGTTGCAATAAAGCGAAGGGGGCGAAGCCCTTCGGGGCCTGCCCATGAGCCAGAGGGGGCCTCCCTAGCAGATCCCCGACGAATACAGTGCGTGTCTGCCGGCGGCTCTCGAAACAGGTGGGAACACCTGAGCCTCAAGCCTGGTGCTGGGCTCAGGGAGGTGCAATTCCCTGTCCTCTTGGGGGGGAAACTGAGGCACCGAGCGGGAAGTGGTTTGCTTGGTGCAGCTGAAGGAGGCTTAGAACCCAGGAGTCCTGGCTGCCAGCCCTGCCCTCGCTCTCCCCTCCCCCACGCGGTCTTGGTCTCTTCTTAGCACTCCCGTCTCTGTGCTCTCCGCTCTCCTGGTGTAGATCCAGAGTGACTCCGGAGTTACTCTGCTGGGGCTTATCCCAGCTTATCTCGTATTTGGCTGTGCAAGGCCTCCCCCCTCCCTCCCCGTCCTAGGGGGAGGGGTGCTTATCTCTGCAGGGAAGCTCAGGGCCCCTGTGCCAAAGCCTCTTGTCTTTCCTTGGTGCATGCAGCCGGGTGACCCTTTGTTTGGCTGCCCTGGAATGGGCGGCTCCTCCCCGGGCGGGCAGGGAAGGGAAGGGTGTGGCTGCGATGCTGGCAGGGCTAATGCTGTCACCTCCCTGGGGGAGGGGAGACAAGCAGCCTGTTCTGCAGCTGGTTAACCCCTTCGGGGCTCTCTGCCTGGCGTGGCCCGGGCGGCTCGGAGAGCAGGGCTCTGGGAGGCAGACAGGGCGCCCTTGGCTTGGTAACTGACCGGCTCCTGTGCTCGGCCTGAACTCTGGGGAGGGGGGGGCTTAGGCCTAGGTCTTGAGGACCCCAGAGCAATCCAGTTTGGGAACTGAGATCCAGCCTCGTTCCTTCGAGCCCCCCTCCCTGTGGGCTGGGGGGGTCAGAAGCCCCCCCCCCCCTTGAACAGGGTGAGGGAATGTCTGAGCCCCTCTCCCTGTTTCTGCTTCAGATCATCGAGAAGAGCCTGGGACACATCCGGAGCCGGGTATTCCGGGAGGTGGAGATGCTCTACCAATGCCAGGGGCACAGGTACGGGGGACAGGGGGCTGGAGCCAGGCGCGATCTGTCCCTGTGCGCCCGGGCAGCACGTTGGCTTACGGCCCTCCCCTTTCTCTTTGCAGCCCAAGGCCTGGGTGGGTCTCGTGGCTCCCACTTCCCTGGGGCGGGCTGTGTGAGCATCTGCCTTGCTCCCCCCTCGGCTGCGTTCACTCCCTCTTTCCCCCCAGAGCTGCAGATGACTCCCAAGGGTGTCTACACCCTGTAGGCTGGGGGCAGGCCTTGGGAGGAGGGGGTGTCTCATCGGGGCAGAATGGCAAGACCAGGTGGACCGAAGGGCTGAGCCACACTCGTTCTCCCCAGCAGCGCCTGTTAATGATCAGGGCTGAGGTCGAGCGAAGTTGTTAAGTGGAGCAGGGAGAGAACCACCCCTGGAATGCAGGGAAACCAGCTGTGGGCCCAGGCGCCTTCTGGTTCCAATCGCCGAAACCCACTTCTCCTTGGCGCCCGTCCCGCGGGCTCCTCATGCGGAGAAGCCGTCTCGGGGAGGGCCCTGCGGCTGGCTGGAGGGGGAGCCTTGGGGAGGGCTGAGCCCGTCTCCCCCCTTGCTCTCCTTCCAGGAACGTCCTGGAGCTGATCGAGTTCTTCGAAGAGGAGGATCGGTTCTACCTGGTGTTTGAGAAGATGCGAGGAGGTAAAGGGGGTCACTTTTATGGGGGTGGCATAGATGAGTGGTTGGAGCATTGGCCTGCTAAACCCAGGGTTGGGAGTTCAAGCCCTGAGGGGCCATTTAGGGATCTGGGGTGAGTGTCAGGGATGGTGCTTGGTCCTGCCGTGAGGGCAGGGGACTGGACTCAACCTCTCCAGGTCCCCTCCAGTCCTGTGGGGATAACCCGTTCTCCTAGACTTATTTATTAAAAGCTCCAGCAGGGCCCCGGCTGCTTTCTCCCCCTTCGCTGCCCCTGCCCTGGCTGGCAGGGCTGGGCTGGGGTGTTCATGGAGACCCCTCCCCTCTGCTTGGCATGGAGGGGCTCTGCCCTGGCTCAGCATGGGCTGCCCAGCAGGCCTGCTCCCCAGCTCCCCAAATGCTCTGGCAGGGAGGGGCTTGGGAAGGAGGGCAGCAGCCGGCTGTGGGGGCGGGAGTGGGAA